GGATTGCGGCGTGGCCATCCCCCCCTGGGGGGTGATTTCTCGCTTTCTGTCTCTCTGTCTGTCTCTGTCTTTCTGGCGAGCGCACGCGCCCTATAGCAAAAACCTCTGAAAAAACAAACAAACAAACAAACTCATGCCAAGTGTGCATGCATGCCCCAAATCCCAAGCGGAGAATGGAGGAGAAGGGATTGCGGCGTGGCCACTCCCCCATGGGGGTGTTTACTCGCTTTCTGTCTCTCTGTCTCTCTGGCAAGTGCACGCGCCCTATAGCAAACATCTCTTTCAATGAACAAATACGATAAAAGACGGATCTTGGGGACTTGTCTGGGTGTGACAGGCCTGAGCTAGCAGAGGCCCCCTCACCCCTACTCCATCACCGCCAGCCCTCTGCGGTCTCTGCCTTAGCCTCTGTCCCATGGGCTTATTGCTTGGCCGGGGCAGGGACCGAGAGTCCCCTCCAAATTCTTTAAAGAAATCACAGTAGGTGCTCCGGGCGCACAGTAGGTGCTCCTTAAATGCACCTGCCGGGACCTCTGCCCCTCCTCTCCTGACTGTGGCTGGCGTGGAGTGTGCCGGGTCACACATAGCTACTGCATGATGCAAGTTGATGACATGACCAGGCAGGAAGCTGGCAGCTCTTTCCGGTCACATGGCCAGGCCTCCTGCAGAGTCCACGCTCGGGCCTGAGAGGTCACCGAGAGAGCGCTGAGTAATTGTCACATGACTTCAGGCCGGTCAGTTGGGACAGCGTGGTGGCCGCTGGGGTGAAGGGGGTGCTGTCCAAGTTGGAATTCTTCCAAGTTCAATAAGTGAAAGGAGGGAGGCTGGGCGGAGGCCCCGGGTGAAACGTGAGGCTCCGTGAGGCTGTCCCCAGAAGGTCCCACGTTGGTATCGGTACAAGGGACACGTCTGTGCCAGGATCTGGGACTGGCTGAGGATGGCGGAGGAGGATGGCACTGAGACCCCCCCTCGGGGTGTCTCCCTCTGTCTCTTTCTGTCTCTCTCTCTGTTTTTTATTTTTTTTTTTGGAGAGGTTTTTGCTATAGGGCACGTGCGCTTGCCAGACAGAGACAGAGAGACAGAAAGTGAGAAATCACCCCCCAGGGGGGATGGCCACGCCACAATCCCTTCTCCTCCATTCTCCTCTCGGGATCTTGGGCACGCACACACACGCGCCCGGCGTGAGTTTAAGCCACCGGGTCCGGGACTCGAACCGCAGTCAACTACATGGGAGTCCAGCGACATAGCCATTACGCCACCTGCTGGTTCCCTCTTTCTGTCTCTTGAGCTCATATAATGAAGAAAGAAACTGGGTCCGGCTGGTGGTACGATGGTTGAGGTGCTGACCTCTAACGTGGCTGACCACAGTTCGAGTCCCGGACCTGGTGGCTTGCTTTCTCACTTTCCCTCTCTTTCTCTGTGTGTGTGTGTGTGTCTCTCTCTCTGGCCAAATTAAAAAATAATCATAATAAAGAATTCTTTAAAAAAATAAAAAGAAAGAAAGCAAGAAGTGCCAGCAGGTGGCAAGGTAGTTGAGGTGCTGGATTCCCACATGAGTGACCACGGTTCAAGTCCTGAACCTGGCAGTTTGCTTTCTCACTTTCTCTCTCTCATCAAATTAAATAATAATAATAGTAATGAATAAAATGAAAGAAATAAATCTTTAAAAGAAAGAAAGGTGATTTCTTGCTTTCTGTCTCTCTGGCAAGCACACGTGCCCTATAGCAAAAATCTATTAAAAAAAGAAGGGGGGGGCCCGCTGCACTGGTATTTGGCACCAGACTAGGGAAACTCCCTAGGGCATCTCTGGTCCCTTCGTGGTCGCCAGTGAAAACTATGGAGCGGGGAATGGAAGGTGGTGTGGTGGTTAAGGGCGCTGGACTCCCACGTGACCGACCTTGGTTCGAGTCCCG